GCCAGCTATTTCTGTGCAGCTGAGATCTGGGCCCTCACAGGACTATAAACAGGACCAGGGATCAGGGGCTGCTTCGCTGGGGAGGCGATGTGTGAGCTGAGAGGTCTAGGATTAATAGGGGCTAAGCAGGTGAGGCTTGCCTAAGTGGGTGGGGAGCATTCCAGACCTGTAGGGCATGTGCAAAGGTCCTGGGGCAGGAGGGGTGGAGTGTGCTTGGGGGACTGGAAGGAGGGTTGTGGGACAGGAGTGGAGAGAGAGAGGCTGCCCTTTGCCCACAGCGGTGGGATATGGGGGCACGGCGCCAGCATTAGCTCCCGTCCACATGCAGGACTAGTGCCCATGCCAGCCCACATGGGGACACTGCCACTGCGTGAGTCTCCTTAGGCAGGTCTGCTCCGTCCTCCTGGTCTGCGCGAGAACACGCAGGAATCGCAGATGCTAACGACGCGTTGCTCCTTGCCCACCCTGCTCTGGCCCCACAGCGCCCCTGCAGAGGGCTGGCTGCACCTAGTAGCCCATTTTACGGATGAGGAGCCCGAGGCACCTGCCCAAGGTCACGCAGCCGGAGCCTTCAGGGTCCTCACACGGACACTTAGAGACAGGCCTTCCTTCCCTTGCAGGACTGGCCATCCCCGTGTGGCCCTGTGGTCACAGCCCCCAGAGGGGCGTGGTGTGGTCCTACCCCCCGTGTGATGGGGGCTTGCTGTCAGTGTCCTCCCTCCGCCTTCCTGTCCAGGGCTTGTCCTCACCGCCCTCCCCACCCCTGCCCCCCGAGCCCGGTCCTTCTGTAAGCCAGCCGGGTGGTCCTCGTGCTCTGCTAGCCACGAGGCATGGGTGCGGATGTTTGTCCAGTGTCCCTTTTCCCGGAAGCCCATGGGAGAGCATCAGTTGCCGCTGCGATACGAGATGGGGAGATCCACACGTCCGTCGCGTCTTTTGGCCTGACAGCAGTCCTGTTAGGCGGGAATGCGGTGCCCCGACCCCAGTGCCCTGTGCGTTCTTTCCTGAGACGCAGGCCTTGAATCTTACAGTGAGGGCTTCGGAGCATTCGTCTTGTGCCCACACGGCCTGACTTTGGGCGTCCCTTAGCTACAGACCCAGCGGTGCCCACGGAGAGGGGAAAGGGGTCCCAGACAAGATCAGTGATCAGTCCCACGGCTCCCCAGCCTTCCCTCCGTGGGCCTGTCCTCTTAGAGAGGGGCCGGGTTATGAGCTGCAAAGCCATGGTACTGCAGGGTGTGGGGTTCTGTAGGATGGGGCGCTGGGGGTGGGGTTCTGGAGGAGGGTGGGGTTCTGAGGACGGGCCAGGTGTTTCCTGCCAGCCTTGCGTGGTCCCTCACCCCCAGGTGAGGTAGGGACTGGGGTTCCTGTTCTGGGAAGACAAGGAGTGTGGCTGAAGCTGGGGCAGGTGAAGGACCTGCCCACGATCATAGGGTGCAAAGTGGCCGAGCCCGCGTTGCCCGAGGAGCCTCGTCCCTTGACAAAGCCTGGACCAGCTCCACCCGAGAAAAGGCATGCAGCCCTGCCTTCTGCCCCCGGGGGAAACCGACTCGGAAGCGAGCACCGGGCTCAGTGGGCCTCTCTTAATAGAAGACACTTGTGTCTACATGCAGATCTCACGGTGGTCCCCGTCCCCTTCCGAAAGATGTCCCACGGCTGCAAAATTGCTTTCGCTGTGCCTGTTTCTTATATAAAAGTCACATCATTAGCCAAAGAAATGAGGGTCGATAATTGCAAAAGCGTGTTGAGCAAGACAGCCCCTCCGGGCCGATGGAATGACTGCTTACCTGGTGGAACGCCTGCTTTGCTGCTTGCCGGTGTGTCCCGGACGGCAGGGCTGGCCCCAGATGGCTAGGGAGGCCAGTGACTTCACCGGGGGCCCAGGACCGCTTTGGGGTCCAGCGGGGGAGCTCCCGGGCCATTGCCGAGATGCGGCAGCATGGGCTTTGCGGTTTACCTGTTCCAGGTGTAACCTTTGCCACAGATTCCACTGGCACCCCCTTGCTCTCGGGGTTCGTGGTGCCTTTAGAAGTTGCAGGCTGCGATAAGCGCGTGCCAAAGCGGCCAGGGGTGGAGGGGGCTGGGCCGGGCCGAGGCAGGTGGGGACCAGACGGGAGTGCAGGAAACACCTGCTATCTCTCCAGACGTGGTGTCGGTCCGTAAAGATTGGCGTGTCCTTGGAAGGCTCCCGAGGGAGGTGGGCGGGCCGCTCTCCTCTTGCAAAAGCACACAAGAGAAACGTGCAGCTCGGGAGGCCTGGGGTCTTCACGCAAGAGAGCTTTTCTTAAACTTCCCGAACGTGGTTAGGGTGTAGGGTTCTGGTGAGCAAGGGACCTTCTTCAGTAGACTTTTACTAAGTTGGTTTCTGGGTCGTTCCCAAGCCACGAACTGTGCTGTGGTGTATAAACGGGGGCCTGGTTTTTGAGCCCCGAGAGCAGGTAGATTCTTCGCTTTTGAGTGAAGATGCACAGAGACAGGGAGCCCCGTGTCCCCCTCTGACCAGCGCCGTGTGCGGGCAAGTTGTGCCCCGTCACGTAGGTTGGGCGTGCCTCCCGTCCGCTGCACGGCGGACCTTCCCGGCAGCCGAGGGGCTGCTGTCCCAGTGAATCCCAGCGTCCCCGGGTCCGGTCACTGGTGCGTCGTCTGCTTGGCTAGGTTTCCCCCCATTGGGGGGTGGTGGTGCACCCCGAGTCTCAGAGCCTGGCTGCTCCACGGGACCAGCTCTCCAGGAGAAGCTCTCCCGACCTCCTTGATGTTGGTCTGGCCCGGGGACGGGTCGGCAGCACGGGCTGTGGGCCACCAGGGCCGGGGGATTGAAGAAGTCTCGAGTTTGGCGTGAGAAGTTGCTACAACACCGTCTTCCCGAATGCCTTTTTCCCAGGCTGTGCAGCGAGGACGGTCCCGTCTGCTTTCCTGGGGTTCCCGCTGGAAGCCAGGTATCCCGGCAGGTGGAGCCGTTCCTGCTGACCTCCGTCAGCCCTCAGGGGACACCGTGCTGGTGGAACGGTGGACCGGGGTCTAGGGCCGGCTGACCTCTGTCCTTGGGACCCCCGTCCCTTCCCCTGCATCACCTGTTGGCCACGCCCGTCCCCTCGCTGTCCCCAAGGTACAGAACGATGCCACTTCAGGGTTCGGGCACTGGCTGTGCTCTGCCCAAGACACACTCCCTTCAGGTGACCCCCTCCCCGCGGGGACCCCCGGCCCCTCCACGCTGAGCTGCAGCTATCACCCGAGGGCTGGGGGGTGTGGGCGGTGAGTGGTGGTTCAGGCCCGTCATCCCCTCGGGTGATGGGGGGGTTGGGAAGGTATCTGTGCTTTATCCACACACTTACGTGCGTGGCCCGTGTCTGGTGGTTCTCGGTCTGTGCACATCCGTTTGGTCTAAATTGACATAGGGCACAGTGCAGTGGCTGCAGGTAGGCGTGAGGAGCCATGGGAGGGTGGGCAGGCCCGGCCTTCCCATCTCGCTGTGTGTGTGTCTGTGTGCATGTGTGTGCGCGCGTGTGTGTATGTGTGCATGCGTGCACGTGTGTGCACGTGTGTATGCGTGTGCATGCGTGTCTGTATGCAGGCACATGTGTGCATGTGTACACATGTGTTTGTGTATGCGTGTGCACGCGTGTGCGCGTGCATGTGCACGCATGTGTGTCTGTGTGCATGTATGTGCGCGCGTGTGCATGTGTGCGCGCATGTGTGTGCATGTGTGTGTATGTGTGTGCGCATGTGTGTGTTCAGCGGTCTGCCTTTCACGCACGTATGTATGTGTCTATGTGCCTATCATCTGTCTGTCATGGATCCGTCTGCCATCCATCCATGCCAAGCGATGTGGGTGGGGATTCTTGGGGGCTTGCTGGGACCCCTCAGGGCTGCTTCGGGGAGAGTGTGCCCAGCCTCCCTGACCTCCTGGGGGCCGCTGTCCTGTGCTGCTTGGGGTCCTGGCACCAAGGGAGCGGGCTCAGTCAGCCCCCAGACTCGTCTGTAAGGGGACACGTAGGAGAGGCATGTGTCCGCCAGGGACAGCCAGCGGGCAAACTCTAGGCATTCTGTGCGCGGAGGAGGGCGCCCTCCAGGTCCTGTCTCTGCCTGGGGGCCCAGATCACGGCCTCTGGTTTGCAGTTGGCTTAGGCACGGTGTTGGTGTGACTTCTGGGGAGTGTCCGTCTCCATTCCCGAAGTAGCCAGGATGAACTGGGTGCCCAGTGGGGTGCTGGTGAAGTGGGGTGTCCGAGCCTGTGAAGGGTTCCCCAGGCCCGGGATTGGCGGGAAGCAGGAGGGAGGGCTGGGGGATCTGGGCGTCCTGCCGCGCACGTTCCCAGCATCACCCCCCTTCTGGGGGGGGGGTTGCGCCCTGGCAGGTCCACAGAACAGGGCCAGGACACGTGGCAGGCCCCAGAGAGGAGCCGCCCGGTTGTGGGAAGGGCTCTCCCCACCTCTGCCGTCTTGGGCAAAGCCTTGCACACCTCTTGAGCCTTGGTTTCCCCGCTGCTGGAATGGGGAAGTGATTTTTACTCACGTAGTGGCTGGGCATGTGTCCCGAAGTCATACATACGCAGCCTCCGGGTATCGCGTTAACACACACGTACACGGAAGGGTTGTGGAAATTGTAAAGCAAGCTGGAGCTTTTCCCTGTTCGATGGGCTTCTTAAACCATAGACACAGTGGTTAGTCGTTTTTTTTCAAGTATATACTAGCGGTAAAGTTAACGGTAACCGTGACCTTGGTCGAGCGCTGCCTGTATACAGGGACAGGTTCGTCCCTGTGGGTCCATCCCACCATGGATCCTGTCCTTTGGGCTGTTCTGGGAGCGTGTGGCTGGGGGCCTGCAATCCCCAGGCCGAGATGCCCTGACATGCCGAAGACCCTCCCTGGCCTTAGGATGAACCCACGGTCACCGCGTTTGACTTCCCACCTTAAACTGGGACGGGCGGTGTCCTTTCTTCTTGGCGGGCTGCAGGCTGGGGACAGGGGGACCGAGAATGACCCATGCTTTGTCGTTTGCAGGCTCCGGGGGGTTCTGCACCGTCCACTGCTCTCTGTCGTGCCAGACCACCCAGGTGAGTGGCCAGCCCCGTGCATAGCTCGTCCGTGTGTCCCTGCCCGGGGTCAGCTTGGTGTTACTTTATTCCGTAGTCATCTTAAGTTTTTTTGTTTTTTTTTTGACTTTAGGAATAAATGTTCAAAGGCGGTACATATCAAGTTTTTATTTATTTTCTTTTTCTGGGTGCAGCCTCCCAGCATTAAAGCCCAGATTGTGGGAAAGCAATTCTGTCCACGCACAGCTGTGGCGTAATTGTGCAAGTGAACGTTGGGGGCGTTGCAGGGTTGAACCCAGCAGGTGCATTGAGCTCTGTCTGCCTGCGCCCCGGCAGGTGCTTGCTGGGACGGCCATATCCAGCACTCCCCGCGGGGCGGTCCCTCAGGAGCTGCGGTTGGCAGAGAACGCGCTTTGTGACTTTTTAAATCAATGTTTAAAAAACCTGATTTATTTTTTAAAAGTAATCAAAACTCTTTTGCGTCCCTCTGTAGCGCATAAGGTAGACAAAACAAAATCTTGGTGATTGTTTGCATCCTGATTTGAATAAATCAGCTTTAAAAATTAAGTTTATGATCTTGGATCTGATTGATGTTCCTTCTTTTAGGTATGATAACGACCTTGAAGGTGTTCCTAAAAAGCTTCTATCTTCTAGAAAGAAATACTAACGTATTTATAAATGAAGTGATAGAATGTCTGGGATTACTTCGAAGCAGGGTGATGGTGGAGGTAGCAGGGCGTGGGGGGCATGGGGGCTAATTTTGAAGTCGGATGATGGGTACGTAGCGGTTCGCAAAGCTGTTTTCTATGTTTTTGAATTTTTCCAAAATCAGGAGAGAAACACATAGAAAAGGGGCAGTAAATAAACAGACAACAGTCACAAACCCCCAGAGCTCATGGCGGTGACAGTCGTGGACCAAAACCAGCATCCTGCGTGTGTCCTGCATCCGTCCATTGTTTCGCCGTGGGGTGTCACCCCGTTGGGATTGACCCAACACCTCGTCCCAAACACCCTCAGCCCTGAGGGCCTGTCCTCCCGGAGAAGGAAGGGGTGGAAGGGGCAAGGCTGTCGGCCACGGTCCCCAAGCACGTCCTAGTGATGCAGGTGCAGCTGGGGCCCGTGGGCAGGCCCTCCCCTCTGCAGGCCCAGTGAACTTGGCAGTCCAGAGCTCGGTCCTCCTGCCTCTGCACCCCTGCCCTCCCACCCGCTGCCCCCACCCCCCCAGGTGTCCTCAGCAGAGAGCCCGCACACAGCCTTGCTTGTTGACCCGGCCGCCTCTCCTTCCCAGGGGAGGCACCCTGTCTTTGCAGCTGCCGACATCCCTTCCCAGGGGGTCCCCTCCGCGGCCTCCACAGCTGCCCCAGGATGGGACACGAAGACCCGAGGAGCCCCTATGGGTGCCACCCAGCGGTGGCCTCTGTTCTCCCCATCCCCTGCCTTACGCTCCCCCCCAACCTGGCGCCAACCCGACCCCAGGAGGGAGGACCAGGCTCCTCCCCCCAGGGTCCCTCCCGAGGGGCTCCCTCTGCAGCGGAACAGTGTGCTTCTCCCCCCGTGTATGCGCTGGGGTGGCTGGTGGTGCCGCAGACAGGATCGGGCAGGGCGTTCGGGCTTGTATGCTCCCGTGACCGGAGACCACGTGGAAGAGACTACAGAGGCTCCCGTGTGAGCAGCGCGGGCGGGCGCCTTGGCGTCTGCCACTCCGGGGACCCACCCCGCTCCTGACCGGCCCCCTCTCCTAGGCCCACGGTGCTGAGCCCCACCATGGAAGACGGGCGCGAGCTGGACCTCACCTACATCACTGAGCGCATCATTGCGGTGTCCTTCCCCGCCGGCTGCTCCGAGGAGTCCTACCTGCACAACCTGCAGGAGGTGACGCGGATGCTGAGGTCCAAACACGGGGACAACTACCTGGTGAGTGGGGGGGGGCACTGAGCAGGAGTGGAGGGTGGGGACGGCGGGGGGACACCGACTGTGAGGACAATGAGGTACGCCAAGCACGGGGACAGTGGGGGGAGACACTGAGCACAGGGAGTATGGGGGGCACGCTGAGGTGGGGACAGTGAAGGGACGCCAAGCACAGGGACAGT